AGGTGGAAAATCATCTTACTTGAACATTTTCTACCATTACTGTCTAAATTATCAGAAAATTGGATGGAGAAAAATAATGAGTGCATTGAAAACAGCAATACATTACTTAAGGACTTATCTAAGCATAACCATAAACATGGGCAAAAGGAAATTAAATATTTGATATTTGGGTGAAAAACCCCATTGCACATATAATATTTTGCAAATTCTTTATGAAATGTTAAAGATGTAAAAAAGCAAAGGGGAAGTTTTACATGGTTCTGCCCAAGATTTGTATGATAACTGTAATAGGACGAGAAGTTGACAGGGTCCATCTGAGTCTGGCTCATCGTTTCTCCTAGTCTTCCACATCATCCTTCCAGATGACTTGGTTCATGTTTGGGTCACATTAAATAAAAGAAAAAGACAGATACTGTGTACTGCTTTTTGGAGTACACAGATGGCATCTACATACATGTAAGAGAGATGGGTCTTAAGAAAGGAATGATGGGAGTATAAAGGGAGCCAAAAAAATGCAACAGGAATTCCAATGTGCCTGGTGTTTATCTAGGTTGGACACGATTCAGCCACCCTCATGTATCATTAAATAGCCTCATCTCTTCCTCTCCTTGCCTTTCCTCCTCCCTAGCCTTGAGGAAGTGTATATAAAAGCCTGAAGAGTTACTAAGTTGATGACTTCTCAGCATTAATTCACTCTCCCTGGCTCTGGGAGTCAACTAGTGAAGTCTTCACCATGAGCCTCAGACACAACACTGCCTCTTCTTGTACCGGTGTCAACCCATTTGGAACCCTACAGGTGTCTCTGCTGCTGGCCCTGCTCCTGACTGCACTAATTCCCTGCGCCAGCCGACAAAGTAAGAGAGCTTTGGAGGGAGGGAGTCGCTGAACGTGTAGCAGACCTTCTTCTCCGCTTACTGAGGATGTGCCAGCTCATGCTCACAATGGCCTCTTGTTGCTATTTGTTAGGTACCATTGAGTCAGTTCTGACTCGTGGAGACCCCTTGTAAAACACAGAGAACACTGCTGGGTCCAGGACCATTCTCACAATTATTCTTATGTTTGACTCTACTGTTGCAGCCGCTGTGTCATTCCATCTTGTCGGGAGTCTTCCCACTGCGGAACCGCGCATGATGTCCTTCTCTAGGGATTGGTCTCTCCTGACAACATTATATTTATGTTTAATTTGCAAGTAAAGGAACTGAGGAAGCCAAATCTAAAAGTGCCTAAAATATTCATGACCACTAATCGAATCCCAATCTCTACCCCCCCCCCCAGTTAGCAATGAAGAAGATTCATTAAATATTGAACTGCGCTGCACGTGTGTAAAGACCATATCTGGAATTCAACCCAGTTATATCAAGAATTTGCAGGTGATCCGGAGCGGACCCCATTGCCACAAAGTTGAAGTGATGTAAGTTTTTACTTCTGTCCTATTGGCTCCTTATGGAAGCCCACTACCTTCATCCTCAGACATTCCTCTCCACTCACACAAGCTTCAATCGTCCCATTGTTTCTGATGGTCAGGCTGTGAAACTCAAGGATCATTCTTTTCTCCTTGTAGAGCCATATTGAAGGATGGAAGGAAAATCTGCCTGAACCCAGAAGATCCTAGAATCCTGAAAATAGTGCAGAAAATTTTGGAAGATGCTGGACCAGCTGCTTAATCGTCTCTTTACATTTTCTTTATTCCTTTTTTTTTTTTAACCGAAACCTTTTATCCCCCAGAAGGATTGGGTTTATAAAGTGTTGCATTTCTAAAGTTTCCCTATATCCAGGATACATATTTCCAGAATATTAAGCTTCAGCTATGTCTTTGTCTCAAAACGGACATTCCACCTTTAGAAGACAGGTTAAAAGACGCCTTAGAGAAGAATGAAACTACGCAGAGCCTTTGTTTCTAAGATATGACATACGGTCCTAGCGAAATGCGTGCTTTGCATTTCTTTATTTGAAAATTTCTCCCCAAATACATTTGAAAGTCAACTTATCTTACTCTATACCACAGAGATCTCTAATTTTAAACCATATCTCATAGTGCTGAATGATGTTAGGAGTCACACAATACCCTGCAAAGAGTAGTTGGTCAATGGCCTCGGTGTGTTCCTATCTTTAGAAAGGTCTTAGACTGCCGCAGCTAGTTCTAGCACGTCTTTTCCAAGAGTATTCTCTGAAAGGGTTTCTTATGTTTATTTTAGCCCCCAAATAAAATTGTAGACTGTAAATCTTTTAAGTTGTGATTATTTCCTTAAAATATATAATAATACTAAAGAAAATATAATAAAAGATATTGATATGCTTTATTTAACACGCCAATATTTTCTACAAAAGGGAAAAATGAAGACAATAGATTCTATTTGAGGATAAAAGTCACACTGGCATTTTATATGTATGTTCATTTATTTAATGGCTACCCGTTTAGTATTAGAAACATCTTTACACAAAGTACCTTATTAAATTGACTTTACTTTTACTTTTTAATCATAAGACATTCTCTTCATTTCTTAACCCCTAAGATTTCTACCCACGTGATTCTTATACAAGTATTAATATAAACTAGTAAGTTGCTATTGCTTTATTAACATATCCCTTGATTGCCACTTACAGTCTCAGAAACTCACAAAAGCAGTTATACCTGTCCTATAGCATCAGCAGCCACTCAATGGCAGCGGGCTTGGTTTTGGATTTATTGTGAGGTGAGCATAGGCCAAGGTTGGGTTTCTAAGCCATTGGCTACTTGGAGGGAGAAAATTGAGACTCTCTGCTCCCCAAAGGATTGGCAGTCTCAGAAGCCCCATGTAGGGTTGCTACCAAAATTGACTCCATAACAAGGGGTTTGGTTTGTTGCTTTTAAAAACCTATCACATAATATTAATTTTCTCAAAAGACTGCTAGGGAAAAATCCTTAAATTTTCCTTTTTAAAAAAATTTACTCCAGTATTTCACAATACAATGAACCCTTGCCACTTCGTGCTTCGACTTCCGCGGCTTCACTCTATCGCAGTTTTTGCGTAACAGCGCATGCTTTGTCATTACTGCCACTGATTGGCTCATACTGTACACGCTTGATGCCATAAATAATATAATAAATAATAAATGATAATTGTAACGTCCAAAATGTTTTACTGTATTTTCCCTTTTTTGTTTAATAAATTGGGTAATACGAGTGTAATGGTGACTAAAGGGTGTTTTTTAATGTCCTCTATGCTCTAACTATGAAAATATTTGATTTGCAAATAAGGAATCCTACTTCGCGGAATTTCATTTATCACGGTAGGGTCTAGAACCGATTAACCACGATCAACGAGGGTTCACTGTATATATATATAGTCAACAAAATTCACTACTTCTTGGTCTTCACTACTTACAAACGTATGTAATGATATTTAAAATTGGTTCATTTAAAATGTTTGCTAAGTCTTGGTCCAAGGACTATAAAGCATAAAATCAAAATCTGAAGGAGGGAATGGTATTAGAGCTTAAATTGTGAACACCCGGTTTGCTGAAGGCAACGGACGATAGTTTAAACAAACAAACACACTGTCAACACATTGATTGTGACTTAACCCATACCTATAGTTTACCCTGTAGGACAGGGTAGTACTGCTGCTGTGGGTTTCAGAGACTATTGCTCTTTATGAGAGTAGAAAGCCTTCTATTTTTATTGAGGAGTGGCTGGTGGTTTTGAATTGCTAACCTTGTGGTTAGGAGCCCAACATGTGACTATTATGGCATGGAAGTCAGAAATCCACTTGGAGGATTAAGCTCACTGACCATACTGAGGGCTGTGAATAGCCTTGGTATCAGACAGAGAACACTAAAGTCCATTATGGCAACTGTAGTTAGTTTTAAATGTAATATCTTATCATTTAATCTCCCTTTTGACTCATTGTAAAGTTACTTCAGTTAAAAAAGGGGGGGCTGATGGAAGGGAAAACACACGTGGATCGAGCTTCTGGTGAATCCCTTCATGCGGACTACAGACTACATTGGAACGTTGATCGTGGCAGGTGCAGTTAGGTTAAAATTTAACACTTTGCTATTTGAGCTCACTTTTGACTCATTTTAAATTTGCTCTAGTTTTGTTTTGTTTTTCAATATTTTCTGCTTTCATTTTGATTGAGGTTTTCCACTGTTTTGCTTTGCTATTGCTGTGGGGTTTTTTGATTTGTTTTTTGGGGGTATGTTTTTCTGTGTATGCAATCCAACACAGGTGAAGCTATGGAGTTAGTGATTGGAGTAATGGTTTCTTGGTCATGCCAGAGGTGCTTTGGGGGAGATCAGGAGCTAGTAACAATGAGGACGAGAAAGAGGAAAATGTTCTCAAATGGATTGGGGTGATGATTGTCCAACTCCTCCTAATATGATTGAACTATTGAATTGTATGATATGTGAATTATATGCCAATAAAAGTGTAAATAAATAAGTAGGTTAAATTTTAACATATGCTAGACATATTGAGTATTTTGCATTCATTAATTAAATACTTCTTACAGAATAGTTGTGGTTGGGATATGAGCATGCCTTATGGGGCCAGAATAACTGAGGAAGAAGTCTGTACTGCTTACCAGTTGGGTAACTTTTGAGACGATTGTTTGATTTCTCTGTGCTTGGTTACTTGGTCTCTATAATGGTGGTGATCATGCTTTCTACCTCACAGAGTTGATGTGGAGGTCAATGAGTTAATAAGTTTGAAGGCTCAGTATATTGCATGTCACACAATAGCCCATCAACAAACACTAGTGGGGATGCATCAGCTACATCAGACGCTGTTGGGTAGTGTCACATCTAAGATGTACCACACCAGAATTGCATGGTACTCACAGGTCATCCCCTATCTTTAGATCGATGTCCACTAGAGACAAGGTGCAATAGCCGACATGGATTTCCCCATAGACTCATCTCCTTCTGATCATAACCTGAGCATATAGAAAGTTGCTATTTTATTATGTACCACAAGAAGAGGACTTCATACAACAGGCAAACAGTCCCACTGGCTTCAAAGCTGTCCAGTGGAAGTGGTAACTCTTCCAGACCCACCCATTCTTGTGCCGTGAATAGGAGACTCAAAGGAAGACTCACAATTCCCCCAACTTCTAGAAATTGTCTCAATGGCTACAAAGAAGCCTTCCCAAAAACTGTCCACCTGGTTGTTGGCAAGGGGCACGATGGGGACCTATCTACTACAGTTCTCCTTCCACTTAGGTGGACTGTGACGTTACTGGTGCGATGTGGGGAGCTTATCATAGATGAGGAGACAAAGCAAAAGGAAGCCTTCAGGACATTCCAGATCCAGGAACGATCTATGACTAAGCAGAATGAGCCCAATTATTCTATATTTCCAGGCTCCTTGTTTAATTGTATCTTTTTAATCCAGCTAAGAAGCATGGGGCCCCAGTGGGGATGGAGGTTTGTTCTGAGGTCAACTGACTTCCTGAAGAAGGAATGTGGTTAGCCAAGAATTGTATCTTTTCAACCATGCTAACAAAAGAGTGCTGAGGGTGGTGTGGGTAAGCACTGGGCAGCTATCTCTGAAGCTGGCAGTTCAAATGGACAGCAGCGCTGGGGAGATAGATGAGGCTCTCTCAGGGCACAGAAGTTCTGCTCTGTCTTCCAGCATTTTACTATCTTAGATGACTTTGGGTAGGGCTGCTGTGAGGTAGGATCAACTAGATGACAGTGAGTTTGGGTGGTTTTGTAGAATTAATAACACCAAGTCTCTCGGGGTGTGGTGTTTTGTTCTGAGACTCAAAGATGCCAGCAGTGGAGGAACCGAGAAGGCTATACCCTCCTGGCTTGTCCCAAAGACCGTGTCTTCAAACGAAACCCTTCACACGAAGACGCTCACTGTGATATCAGTCCAAGGTGTCTGACACTTTAAATCTTTACATCTTGAACTCTTTCTCCCGTGGAGTGGCTGGTGGGAAATGCCAGCCTTTCCAGGTAGCAGGGGGGCAGGGGGATTTGATCAAAAGGATCAACATATAACCCCCTCCAAGAGGGACGAACAATAGAAATATGGGTGAAGGGTGACAGAGGATGGAGTAAGATATGAAACTAATAATAATCTATAACTTATCAAGGGTGCATGAGGGAAGGAAGGTGGGAGAGTATGGGTGAAAATTGAGAAGCTGATACCAAGGGCTCAATTAGAAAGAAAATGTTTTGAAAATGATGATGGCAACATATGTACAAATGTGCTTGACACAATGGATGGATGTATGAATTGTGATAAGAGATTTAAGAGTGTGTTAGTCTGGGCACTTTAGAGAAACAAATCCACAGAAACTCATGTATAAGAGGGAGTTTTATATAAAGGATAAGTGTGCAAGAAAACAACATCCCAACCCAGTGCTGCCCAAACCCACAAGTCCAATATTAACCCATATGTCCAACACCAGTCCACAAAGTCCTCCTCCATCTCACAAAACACACACAATGATGCCGACTGCAGGTGGAAAGCTGAGTCAGTGAATGTGTAAGCATCTCAGTGCTGGCAGGGGTCTCCACGCGGCTTCTCCAGCACGCAGGGCTGCATCAGGGTAGGTCCATGTGGCTTCTCCTCAGGAATGTCTTGCAGGAAGTGAGCCTTGCTGGCTGAAGCAGGGAACTGGCTAAGGCAGCTGCACCCTGGTCCGACCATCAGAAAGCAAGAGACCCAAGAACTCAAAAGGCGAGGCTCACTGAGCCATTTATCCCTCCGCCCTTCAATTAACCCCACATGTGTTTATCGGTCAGGTTGGCACAATAAACTAACTACCTCAAAGATCCTCCAATAAAAGTACTATATATATATATGTAAAATTTTTGTTTAAAGTGGTGAAGGCCAAGACAAATGGGACCAGAGACTCTGGCATAGATACTAATCGACAGAGCAAATGAGCTAGGCTGAAACCAGAGGCCTAAGTGAGGAAATCGTGAGGCAGAACCTAGACCATGGAACTATGAGACAGAGTAACAGGTGGGCTTCCTGGTCCTTGGAGAAAGAGGCCATCATTTGGTGAGAGGCTGGCAGCTGGAGAGAGACGTGGCTGCCAGCTGAGGAAAGGTGTTGCTGTGTACCAATGACCGCACCCTTACCGCTTGTTAGTGATACTGACTTGTGACCTATCAGCTTCCCTAAGCTACTTCACACTGTGAGCTTTGTCTGTGATATCTGCGTGGCCATTACGATAAGTTACTGAGCTCAGCATAGAAGTTGAATGCTGTGGGAGGAATGGCTGACGTCAGAATAGCTGAAGAGCAATGCCGGACCTCTGCCTCCCGGCCAGAGGAGGTCAGATATAACCTGCATGCCATTTGCTGTGATGTGTGTAATAATTCTAACTCCAGCAATACATATACAACATGGCCAAGCAATAAATATAGATTGAAATCATTTCCATCACTTTTTCCTCTAAGGATTCAAAGTAGTTCAGGCACCATACACCTCCTTTCTATCTCCAGTGGTTCCCGTCTGAAATGTTACATGGCCAGCCCCTGAGGCATAACGTACTGTTTTTAATACACTTAGGCCTTCTGAGAGGCAGGTGGCTTTCATTTTTCTGTGCACATATGGACCTATTATATTTAGAAACAGAGAACGGCCGGTTTAAGTGCCACCAGGTACACCCCAGATTCCTTTCCTCTGCAAATATTGAAACTAGGATTAAAGTTTTACCAACCCAGGATGCTGCCGTTATAGCCAGGCCTCTTCCTCCTCCCCTGGCCATCTGCTGCGAATCCAGGCATGACAGCTCTGCTCGAGTCCTTGTGCTGGATGGTAGATGGTCAAGCCCTGTCACAGAGAGTGGCCCTTGAAGAGGCCACTGTCTATGAGGAGAGACTGGTCAAAAAGCCATTACAAACATACATGTATGTTTCGTGTGCTTACATAGAGCCCTGCTCCAATCACATGAAGAAAAAAACACGTTAGCAGTCAGACCTTCATCGTCATCATTTTCAACATTTATTATTTTCCACTAGGTAGCTACTTTGTACTGTGTTTTAGCAGAGGAATAAGCAATTGTTATAACCTCTAATTTCATAGTTTTCTACTTTACGAGAGAAATAGCTATAAACCCTTTAAAGCATATATAAATGAATATGTATGTGCTTGCGTTATAACCTTTGTGCGTGTGTGTGTGTGTGTGTGTGTGTGTGTGTGTGTGTTGGCAAAGAATATTGAAAATGCCTCAGGCTGCCAGAAAAACACACAAAGAAGAGATGACGAACCTTTATGTTATGGACGTTGGACATAGCATCCAGAGAGACAGACCCTGCGGAAGAAGATCATGTTTGGTAAAGCGGAGGATCAGCAAAAAAGAGGAAGTCCACAAAGATATGGATGGAAACAGGGGCTGCCACTAGGAGGGCAACCATGTCCACCAATGTGAGGACAGCACAGGTGCAAGTGATGCTTCATTCCACTGCACGTGCCAGTTCCATGACACCTAACGGCAACGTGTGTGTACGTATGTATTATGTACGAGAAACAGGGAAAGCAGCAGGCGTTACCAGATATCCAGTGTATAACAGATCTACATTGTTAGATTTCATTGTCAGGGAAGGTCCTTTTGAGGAAGTGATATTTCAGCTGATACCAGGAATATGACGGGGACTTAGCTTAGCTGATGAGAGGGGGGAAATGCAGACCCAGGGAATAGTTAGCATACCCTTGCAGAAGTTCGACCCTGCTGAGGATTAGGACATCAGGGAAGATTCACGGGAGCAAGTCCTGAGCCGAGCCTTGTGCCAGCGTCCATCAGTATATGACACAGAGTTGGAGCGAGGATGTGCTTTGCCTGATTGAAAAGCACCTGCCTTCTTTGTCAGGAAAGGGGAGATGCTCCAGGGTGATCTTTCCACCATCCCTGTCCTGGGTTCTGTTGTGCACATGACCCAGCCACATTGGGCACAGCAGTCCACACTCACGTGTGCTCCCAAATCCCATGTGGCCTCCTTCAGAGGCCATCACTGTGCCCACTCACAACGCAGCCCGTCTCACCCACTCTGGGCACTGGCCGGGGACACAGTCTGCCCTGAGCGCAGTGGCCTGCAAACCACCCTTGAGCTCTCTCCTGGCCTCTTATCCAAAAGTGTGCAAGATGGACTACTTTTTAAGGAAAATCATGCATGCCAATGTTGCTTTTGTGATTCTACTAAAAGTGAGAGGACAAAGGAGGAGGATAGATCCCGCATTGGATGCGGGTTGGAAGAACCAAGTAAATGCATTAAGGGCCAGGGCACAGGGGAGATTGGAAAGGGGCTCAGCCTCTAAAGACCAAATTCACTGTTTGGTTACACAAAGGAATTAAAACAGCACATTCTGGGCAAGCCCCCTCCCACCGCGATCCCCACTTCCACACACAAATTTAACTCAATAGTGATCAACCATGAAAAGGCAGGAGTTTATACAGGCAGGTGGGGCTTAAAGCCAAGAGAAAATGTCTAAGTTCTGAAAGTACATTCGGTGTTAATAGGCAGCATGGTGACTGCAGAGAACATTACTATTATACCTCACAAAGAAAACATACACACCTTAGTTCAAGTGCAGTTTCTTCTTCCTAAAGTACATGCGTGTGTGCAAAGGCTGGGCCTAGGATCCTGCCACCAGCTCCCAGACAATGCAGCAGAATGCCAGACTTTTTTTTTTTTAATCTTAGCTGTGCAGAGCCCAGCTGTTTCAAAAGTGTCTATAATTTTGCACCACAAGCATCCACCCAGGCTTCCGGACTGGACGCATAGCAGGGATAAATTAGGCCGGCAGCCACTAGCCTGCAGAGCCCAGGCCTTGACTTCCCCCAAGCACTCCGATCCCGCTGAAAGCACCGCAGCATGGGCTACTCAAGGATCTCTGGCACGTGGCACGCTCAGCCCGGCCCAGGGCTGCTCCTGCTAGGACTCCTGCTGCTGCCAGCTCTGGTGGCCTTTGCCAGCACCAGCACCGGAGGTACGAGCGAAAGAAGGGGGAGATGGCCGGGAATGGTAGGGAAAGGCTCTGGGAATTCCCGGGGCTGGCAAGTCATTAACCAGTAATGAACTCTACTTGGCAGGCACTTTATCATGTGCACATGGTCAAGATAATTTCTTTCTGAGGAAGGTAGGCTTTGTAGACAAGGAAATGAAGTCCAAAGGCTGAAAAACATTAAAAATCCCTAAGGGACTGTTGATAAATCATTGCTGGAGTGACCTGTCTTCCGTCATCCCTGCTCCCCGACCCTATAGCTGAACCTGTAGGAGAAGACTTGGACGTGCGGTGTATGTGTGCGAAGACCCACATTGTCGTCCATCCCAAGTACATCAACAGCCTGGAAGTGATCCGCGCAGGACCCCATTGCCCCGTGGCGCAAATGATGTGAGTATTCGCGCTGCCTCTTGGGTGGCCACCCTCTGTCCTTTCTGTCCAGACCTCCCTGGGTGTAGTGCCCTCTTCAAGCAGCCTGAAGGCCATGCTTTTCTTTCGCTGGCAGAGCCACGCTGAAGAGCGGGGTGAAGATTTGCCTGGACCACCATGCTGCCAAGTACAAGAAAATAATCAAGAAACTTTTGTCGGAGAAATAGCTGCCAACTTAGCTGTTGAGATTTGTGTTTGCTACAGAGCCCTCCCCCCCTTCACTCGCAATCTGTGTCACAATCTTTTGATGTTCATATTACCCTTCAAATGCTGAATAAATAAAATAGCTCAAATTGTGGTATGGTCAAAGCTATTTCTTAATACTAGAACAACGAGAGAATGCTAATAGTCACAGTTGCATGTAAGGAAAATCCCCAGAATCATATGAAAAACACATTTTGAAGGGAGGCTTTGTTTCATAAAGACTAGTTTTCTAAGCATCATATGTTAGTGGATACATATGTGCAATTTGCAGTTAATCCTGCCTGCTTGGTTTGCTCCGTCAGCCCACCTCACGCAGGGTCATTCGAATGATCTTTTTTAAAGCAGATGCAAATGACTTCACTGACTGAAGCCTCCAAGGTCTAATCTCTGTAGCATGGCATCCCATGAACCTCTCTTTCTGAGCCTTAGTTTACTCGTTCGTGAAATGAGAATTTAACATGTGCCTCAGGGATCTTGTGGGCACTAAATGCGATGATGGGCAAAACTGGGTGGTGAACGGTTAAGAGCTCAACCTTTAACTAAAAGGGCAGCAGTTTAAGCCCACCCGGAGGTGGGTTGCAGAAAAGTCCTGGGGGACTGCTTTCCAAAGGTTACAACCATAGAGTACATATCGACTCAGACACACCTACAGTTTTGACGAGTTGTCAAGAATGGAATAGTATAAAAATGAGATAATATATGGGAAAACACTTCGCATAGTTCCTCATATAGAGAGTGCACTTTAAAAAAAAAAGGTTGTTTCTATTGTTAGGTGCCATTGAGTGTATTCCGACTCACAGCAAGCCTACATGTAAGAGAACAGAACGCCGACTGGCCAATGCCCTCCTCACGGCCCTGGCTGTGCTTCAGCGCATCACCGTCAGCCCCTGCCATTCGCGCAGCTCTACCCAGAGTGACATATAGCTCAGAAACGATCGACTAGTCTGATTGCTCTCGATACTGCTCACAGCACCAAGGAAGACATTCAACAGAGTGACTAGAATAGAAACTTCTCTCATAAAATGGAATTTAGGGAAGAATGGAGTGTAGGTGTTAAGATATGTGTTTGGGGTTTGTTTGTTTGTTTTTATTTAGCTTTTGCTGCTGCCTCAAACAACAAACTTAGTTGGTAAAACCCAGAGGGTCACAACTTATTTTACAAAGCCACCTATATTGGTGTCTTGTTAATGTTCACTTGAGAATGACCTTGGTCTAATTATCCTGAGAGGAGAGAAGATAGGGCCATGGACTCCTGTAAAAATTCACAGCCTCAGAACCTCCCGGGGTCAGTTCCACTCTGCCTTACAGGGTCGTCTTAAGAAGTCAGAAAGGACTCCAAGTGCCGGGTCTCGTGATACTGAGCACACTCCTGAGTTATCATAGGCAGAATAAACGTTAAAAAAAAAGGCAGGTGGGGTGGGGGCTGTCAGCAGAAAATGCCCACAAACTAGGAAGTGAACTGAGTAGTGAAGCCTTTATGGACATAACAAAGCCACCACAGGATATTTTCCTCTGCGAGATTGTGCTGCATTTTGTTACCTTTGCTCTTTCTCCTTCTAGAGATTCGTGGTGAAACCAGTTTCCTCTTCAGTGTGTACAACATTGAGAGTTAAAAAAATCCATTAAAAATGATAAGAGTTTTACAAGCCCCCAATAACATTTTTTAATCACTATAGGAATGTTCGTTATAGGAAGCAGGAAATACAGAAAAAATAAGCAATACAAGATACAAAAGTAGACCATATCAACATGTTCTTTTCCATTTTCAAAACATCAGTTGTTTTTTAGGATTAGAGGTAAACTGCTACTTTTCAATAAAAATCTAATTTATATACAACTATCAGAAAGAAAATATTTAGTAATTACTTGATTTCTTTGAAACTAGTTGGGAGAATACTTTTGTGTCCGTGGTACAAATCCAAATTCAGTCCTTGGGTTAAAGTTTTTTATTGGTCAGAGAAAGAACACCAAACTCATTTGATCATCGTGCAGGTATACATATATGTGTTAAACATGTATAGATACACTGTATTTGTATTTTACATTTGCACACATTAAGCAAGTTCACAAAACAATACTTACAGAGGATGTGTTCAAATAATTTGTTTTCTAGCTTATCTTATAGTATCTCAGTCCACTCCACCTCTTCTTTTGATTTTAATGTTGGTCATAACTCAATATAGTGATCAATGATGAGTTCAGCCTTTCTTTATTAAAGAGTTAGGTTTTGACATTCCATGTTGGAGTCCATATTCTAGCTAGCACAGTAACCAAAGTGCTTCTCAGAGGCAAGGATGGTGAGACTTAATCTTGCTTCCGTTGTACACATCATCAGGAAAGATCAATGGCTAGAAAGAGGCATCATATTCACCAAATGGAGGGTCAGTGAAAATGACAGAAATTCTCCCCAGGGTCACTTGTGAGCATGTCACCAGAAGTGGCGATGTTTCTTTCTGTTTTCCATTAGGTCACCATACACCCCCCTAAGGGCAACAAACAACAACAGCAAAATCGTTGGGTAAATTGAGCCAGCTGGACCATTAGTGCACCTTATCTGTAATCTGCCTTCACTCTGAATGTGCAAGCCTACCCCTGCCCGGGATTTGGAGGCTCAGAGGAGGAGGTGAAGTGTAGTTTTTGAGGTGAAAAATCCTACCAAATGACAGGACATCGATTGTTGAGGTTCTCTGTCCTTTACAGTTGATGACTCTTGATAGTTACATCCACAGCTCATTCTACTTCCTGGGCATGAGTGTAAACTGAATGGACAGAGTGGGCTCTAAAGAGAAAAAAAGTTCACATTTTGGTGGACTTAGAGTTTTTATTCTTAATTCTTCTTCCCTGGTGACGCTAATCCTTATTCCTATAGGTGCTGGCTTTAGCCCAGTGGTCTTTTGAGAAGACAGCCTCGGGGAATATCTTAGCTCTAACTCCATGGGATCTAGAGTCACAAAATGAAAGCAATGACTCTATTGAGAGGTTAATCACACTACTGATAGACTGCAGCATGGTTTCTGACTCAGAACTGGAGCCTAATAAATAAACCCCACTTATCTTTCCTTTCCTGTGCTTAATCCCCAGAGCACACATTGTTTTCAAACAGCTGTGGCCACAATCCTTCAGATGACAAGCAACCCGTGAAGGCCAAGAAGCCAGAATTCCCCCCAATTTTCCCATTTTTGACTGCAACACAACTCCCTTCCTGCTCCCCACCTCCCAGGGGCTGCAACCCAATGTTTGAGCACAAGTAGCTGGTTAAGAAAAATGGTTGGCAGAATAGACCCAAACTGCATTCCCACTCAGGGTAACAGCAGAAAGGAAATCAAACAACAAAACCACAATTCATATCATCCAGCATATGCATAAGATGATAAACTATACAGAACGTTGGTTATGGGGGAACCAAGACTCACTGTTTATCTAAAGAGAACAAAGAGAAGAAACAAACCAAGTACGTAGCTCTGCCAATTGTTGATTTCCTCACTGAGGAAAGCACAGCATGGAGATTGTACCTGATCCAACCTTGTGGTAAACAGTAGTGAAACTTGACAGCAGAGAAATGATCCAGCAGAGTGGGGAGAATTATCGCGTATCAACAGTGGTGGAGAGACAGCATTCTTTACCTAGTATACTTTACATAGTAATTCTAGTGATGAAAATAGGACCTTTTAAAGAGTAAAGAAAGAGGAAGGCATACATACCTTCATCAATTCCATGTTGATGATTTTTTGTTTTTTCAATCTGTTTACCTTCATTGGTCAGGGATCAATGGTCATTCTGTTTCCTGGTACCATTAATGCCTCCAGAAAAAAATATCTGATAGAATATGTGTTTTCCATAATAGCTATATGTGTAAATGAATAGCAATGCAGTTAGTTCTAATGGGGCGGTTTAGGACTGTGGAAAAGCCATCCAGCCAACATACACTTGCTTGAGTAAATAATGACACTGTTTTCCTAACTCCTGATTGTATTAGACTCAGAAATTTCACCGAGTAACCACAGATGTTAACACACTCATCCATTTCCCTCCTCAGTGCTTTATAGGGATTTTTGAGTTAGGGGCACATTGGTAAGTATTAGGGAATCGACCAAGGGTTATATTCATCTGTCTATGCACATTCTCCTATCACAAATGCTAAAATATGTGCCCATTAAACCTTATTTCATTGTATATATTCATAGTCCACATATAATCTTGGCCTCTGTTGATGTGTGCCATCAAATCAATTCAGGCTCATAGTGATCATATGCGATAGAGTAGAACAAGACACTTCCTAAGCTGCCATGAGACCATATAAATGAAATACAAATACCCAAGTCATATTTTCTCCAGCTTTATACCATAAAGTAACCTGCATATAATTCCATATCATATTTCTTTAATAACCTCAATTTCAGAAAACATTGACCAGAAAACAATCTCTGTCACACATCAGCCAAGCAATCCCTTTGAAAACAGTTCATCCAGCATCTTCTACCACCAACATAACCTGAGTATGTATGAACAGAGCTTATAAAGGAAAAAGTTAAAAATAAAATTGGCCCCAAATTTGAGAGATAAAGAATGGTGGAAAATACTACAGCTAATATGCTTAAAATCAAATATTTATGCTGAATCATAATAATTGAAATGCATAGCTATATGATGTGCATGCTATTTTCATTCGATTCATTTTCAACTCCCTAAATTTTGCTTCTACAATAACAGTCATCATGATATTTTCATCTTCAAAGTACAGTTCTGTATGGTCATGTCTAAGAGATTTTTTTCATTTGCTTATTCTTTTGCAATTTGAGGAATAGTCTGCATTTCTTCTCATTACATTATGTGATAATCATGAGACAATTTATTTAACAAGTACAACTTCCAAAAGGTTCAGGAAGCAATCTTAAGAAAATGGCATGCAAAGCAAATTATAAAGACATTTTTATAAAAACCATAATTAGTTGTCAGAAATTGTTAAAGTCACATATATTGGATGTCACAGTTGAAACAGTTGGAAATTGGCAGTTCAAACACAGCCAGTGGCTCTTCAGAAGACAGGCTCGGTGCTCTGGTTCCAAAATATCACAATCTTGAAACTCCAGTGGA